GTCTCTCTACGTCTGTTCGAAAACACCAGGACAGCGGACCTGCTGGTTCCGATACACAGAAAACGGATGGATCGGCCTCTGCCGCTTCCAATTTCAGCCTTCCTGACCGCACGCCCAGTAACTCCCTCTCCGTAGCACCCGCCATCAATCGCCACAATCTACATATGGCACAACATTACCTCCAGAACCATCCAGCCTCAGCGTTCGCCTACTAGCCTATTGACCATAAACTCACTGACACCGACAGACCCAGTTTCTACATCATCAACAGCCGTCCCTGGGACGTCCTCAATATCCGCCGATTGTGCATTACCAGATAGGTTGCAGAGCCCTATATTAGCGCGATTGCTTCACACTGAATCCATAGCTACCAATGTGGCCTTTGTCTACGAAGTTTCTCTACTAGGCCTCGCACGACAGTTCTGAGCACACCAGCGAAATCCGACTGGATTCATGCCAGAAACGGTAGCTTATGACGATCCATTCTTTAAATGTCGCCATGTAGAAGAACGTTTACGGCACAACGGTGTCTTACACAACATAGTAGGGTTCACCACGCCACCGAATACAATGTAGAATGCACGAGGCGTTTGCATGTCCACTCTTTTAACTGGACCGTCCTGGAAGACGCGACCATGCTTATTAACGCTGATGCTGTCAGTTCGAATGTTACTTCTCTCAACGACTCAGTCTATCGCTTACAACAGTACCTCTGCCCGGTATGCAGGGAATATTAGGAAAAGCTTGAGAGTTCTACGCTGGAAACTCAATGAGACCGGAGCTCCGCCTACAACGCAGACCATACCTATCCCTGATCCATATGCTTCTACAACCGCGAGACAAGGTGCCCTATCCCATGACCATCAGATCTCCAGACGGGTCACCCCATCGCCAACATTGTCGTTATCATCGTCTTTTGGGTGCCTATTTCTCTCAGGGTCACAAATTTGATTTTATACCTCTGACAAACTCACCCGATCACGACTACAAGAAGAGAGCCACGCGTCCCACACCTACTCGAACCGTACCAAATTCGCTCGATCACGGGGAATCTCCCACGTCTGCCATGGATGGCTCGGATATCTCCACTTATGAACGATCCACAACGTTCCTACTCCTGCTCCGAGAGCCTAGCCGCCTACTTCCGCTATGTACAGATTTAACCCAAGCACGGATCACGGAGCTTCGAAATCTGTTAGACCACTTTCTCACCCACCGTTCCCGACACGAATTCCGTACGCCCCTCGACAACCTTTGTCAGATGTAGTTTCCACATACTTGTAAATCATCCAAACCGTTCAAACACACCAAAAATCTTCAGTACGGTAAACAACGACGTAAACTCCTGTTCGGTCACATCCTAAGTTTTTCTCATCTCAGGCGTGGGGACGTGGCGGCAACGGTGCTCGATGGCAGATGATGGACTTCCTATCTACAAGAGGGGTAACGAATCCCTGGCGTAATCGAATATTGGATATTGGTATTCTCACAGCTACCAGCGCCTGACCACCGATGCCCACCTACAGCTGTTGGTGAGTGCACTGCAGCGAAGCACCGGTATGCAATACCGGCGTACTGCTGATGTCTGTTACACATATTTTGCAGTCGACGCCAGTGGCGCGTCTGCTGCCGTCTCATAGTCGGAATACCTGTTTTAAGTGTGTTTCGTCTTAAGTAATCTGCGGGGTAAAGGCAGTGAGTCGGCCGGTGGGCAAATTGTCTACCGCCTGACTTGAAATCATTAGGTCACTAGTTCGAATCTGCATAAGAATGGGCGTCCTCACGGTATACTCATTCCGCGCACGACCGCTGGTGTTGTCTGAACAAAACAATAAGAAGACAAGTACTGCGAGATGGCACCATTGCGTGTCATCTGATCACTTGCAAACTAACATGTGAAATGAATGTAATGTGTCAGCTTATACGCCGTAACGGCGCTTCGCTGCCGCGTGACCACCACCAGTCGCGCGCGGGCTGAGTATACCGCGAGGACGCCCACCCCTACACGGAGTCGAACCGGTGGCCTTTTGGTTGCAAAGCAAACGTGCAGACCACTCGGCCACCGGCCGACTGCAAACTAACAACATATATAGGTCACATGAGGGAAGAAAACAATTGTATTGCATTCGTCAGAAAAGTTACACAGACACAACACAATAACTGGTAGCGCTGAGGCATAGGTCATGCACCCCAAGGAAGGTTAAGGGCTACTGTCAGTTACTTTTGTACAAAAACAGTGGGACGGTAATGATTAAGAGACACAGCCTCGGCTAACTTCAGCACCCTGTCATTTTGGTTTCGGTAGATAATCGTAAAACTTAAGCCAGGGTCAATTTGATGACCTGAACTGATTAGGTGTGTAGCGATGGACGGCGCCGGCAGTTTGCCCAAACTTCTTGTCCGGTTGATTGCTCTGCCGTCATTTTAGCGATCCGCTTCGGAATATGCTTTCCAATCCGATTGTCCAAAGAACGGTCAGTTCTGTCAATGTACCTGCTTCTGCAGCTACAGACGAATTGACAATTGCAATGAGTTGCGACGGAGATCGGTTGAGTGGGTTTGTTTGGTGGCACCGTCAGCTTTTTGGTTGTCCAGATAAGACAGCGTTTGGCAGCGTTGAATCTACGGCGAATAGCTGTGTTCACCCGTCGTTCAATTTGCGCCGTCACCACATTACCTTTGAAGAGTAGTTGTAAATAGACGGGCATTTTAGGCACTGTACAAACTCTTGGTGTGTTTTCTTTCGGGTGACTGTGAAATCTGATGAATGCCTCTGGATATTCACTGGCCCGTAATGTCTGTGTGATGAACGATAATTCCGACTCCACACAGTCAGCACTGCGTATTCTACGCGCACGATCAAACAACATCTTGACAAGGCAACATTTGTATTGGACCGGCGCAAAGCTGCTGAAATTATCATTAGCCCAGTCCTTGTGCCTTTCCTGTAAACCGAGCGTTTTCTTGAGCCATCGTTTCATCTTATCAATAATACATTCAGAAAAGCAAGACAAATGTTGTCTTCTAGCTCACAGATGAAACGGGTGTTGAGATGTACATTGTTGAAAACACTTAGAAGGGACTGAGCAGTCCCTACACTTGGGACAATCACTAAGGTATCATCCACATACAGCCTGTATAAGCACATCTAGTATAGTTAGGATTCAAACCTCGATTCGACCATTGCCATAAAGATTTTAGCCAGTACTGGGTCAAGTGAACTTCCCATAGGCACATCATCTACCTATCGATATGCCTACTCGTTGAATAAGAAATGCACAGTATCTGTACATAATAGAAGTAAATCCATGAGATATCCCACTGGAATTTACAAGGCTACTTTTCTATCCATGATGAAATCTCACAAGCAATCCCCTGTTTTTTGATGGGATGTTGGTGAACAAAGATTCTACATCCACGGAACACATAACCTTGTCGGCAATATTCATATCCTGCACACAATCAGTCAGATCAAAAGTGTCTTTCACGGTGTAGGTCGCTATCATTTGTCTCACTGGTGCAAGTGTATGTCAAACTAGCCAGCGTGCCAACTTGTGGTACGGAGGGGAGTTGCACATAGAGAGTACCGGCCTTAATGGTGTGTTAACCTTGTGGATCTTTTGCGTGCCGTCCATTTGATTGATGCATGTAGCCACTGGAGTTGTACACCGTTTCTGATACCATACCGTAGATCTGCTTTTGTCCTGAAATCTGAATTTATCCTTCAGGATATCATGCATCTTTTTTCATAATCTTTCTTATCCATAATAACAACTCCTGTACTCTTCTGATTTTAAAACCAACACATGTCTGGCTTTAATGTGCCTCTTACGTAGACAGCAGACTTCGTGTATCGGAGCCATCACGTACCCGTGCGCGATGTCGATAAGCTTAACTTCAAGCTAGTTGTAGTGTCCCTGTGTCGTCGGGTTCAATTTAGACAGTTGATTTATTAGGCTTTCGAATTAAACCTCGACATGGATACAGCAGACTTAGTTGAAATATATTCTGAAGTTCATGCCCAATGATAACGCTTCCAGTTGCTTTCTATCCAAGAGTACTAAGGACAACTTGTACACATGCCTCTGTAGGTCACCAGAAAATATGAGCTCATCTTCCGCAACCTCAATGGGTTTCTGTTGTGCCTCGGCTACTTCCTTCTTCGTTCTCTCAGCGACCGTTTTGCAAACTTCATGAACTTTCTACGGCGAACCAATGAATGCTGGTCAGTGATCGCCACACGGCGTTGATGTTTCTCCATCAATTGAGAAAGAGTTCTGCTTGTCTCCTCCAAATAGGAGTTAGCGAGTCGCTTCAGCTTCGTGTTGGTCTCAGTCGGCTTTGGAACCGATTGGTAAATCATGAGTTCATAAAGGTTTGGAAACAATCGATTAGTATATTTTTGGGCAACGTTTTGCCTTTGGTACAAAAGCTTCGTCAGGTCGAGTGAATCTGTGTGCAATTAGTGGCGATAACCGCGATACCATAGACCTGAGTCACAGTCCACGATGTCACCTCAGGTGGTTCAATCACAGTGGGCATAGTTCAGGTGTTCCTTTGTGCGTCATGGCATTGACGGATAAGCCTACAGTATTGAGAATGAGAGTCGAGTTGCACTTCGCAATCTGGTCCGCGCACCGACGCTTGTCAGACTGGTCGGTTTAAGATCGAGCGCTACACCCTAGAGAGTTCGACTCACCCTCTTCCACTCTATACACGCACGTGTCCGATTCGGTACCTTCCAACTCATCGGCAATCAACAGCTGGGGCGTTGATCGCATACGCCTCCTAATGATCTCTACGTTATCCAAGTCGATTTGGTGACCCGTCTTCAATGCATGCGCAGCCACGGCCAAGTCTCTTCATGTTGTCGTATTCAGAATCGTTTCTCGGAGGTTGTGAAATGCGCGTTGTGTGCTCTGAAGTTTGTATGCGTAATTCTCGCGGTTTGGCCCAGGCACACATATGTACACTCCTTACATTTATCGGTTTACTTTCAGGTCACTCAGCAGCTGTCACATGCTGTTTACTCCCTCGATGATCATCAAACACAGGCAGCGGACGACCCATTAACCCAATCTGTTCGTTATAAACTGAAAAATCGTGAGTCTTTCTCCGTTCGTTTTGCCTGGTACTGTTCCGGCACATTTTCAGTGTGGATATTCAATTCTAGTCAGGGAGTATTTTGGTTGTATCATTTATTGTCCTCATCTAATTTCAAAGCACTAATTTATCAATTCTGCCGCCCCGTTTCTTTGCCTTGCGCATTTCAGTTGTCTGATTTCCTCACTCGCTTTCCTCATCCTCAGTTTGATCTTTTTCTCTTGCTCAGCATTCTTCCGTATCGGTCAACGCGCTGCCAAACTCGGACCTTCAGAGCAGTCTGCTGCTTCGTTGGTTTCGGAGTGGCATAGCTTGGATGCCATTGTTTCCCACCGAAACATCAGTAAATATTCCATCTTTACTTGCGGACCCACGGATTTATACCCCACCGACTTTCATACTAGATTCCACTTGGGTTCAACGGATGTGAAAACTGCGGTCACCGAGATTCTCGAGCGCGTTCTCTTGGTATGTTTCCAGGCTATTCTTCATTTCTACCTGTCACGTATAGCAATGCATTTCACACAATGAACTACTGATTATTTTGCTAATCTGTCATCTATGTTTTACTTCTTAACATGGTCCAGAAGTTTTCCAAGTCTACCGCTTCCATTTTTCAACTGTCTTAATAAACACGTCTCATTTGCACTTGGCCAGAAATGAGTGTCCATAAAAGCGCCTCCGACTCCCTAGCAGCTTTCAAAGTGCCTCTTATGCAGGCTATTCTCCTTTCCCTCTAGGCGTTTGGTGTTACCGCCGTACTTCCCACAACAACATTATTTTGTCTGCGATCGACGACAACTCAGTCAAAGGCTTGAATGAATCACGCGGAATGTTCAGCAATCCAAAAGTTCCCATTTATTACAGTGAATCAATCGAGGCAGAATCTGAGTAAATAATCCTTTCTGGTAATTCTCATCAGACTGAAATATTACATGATGATGACAAAGTGCTAAATGGGAATTATCGAAAAATTTCATTACTCAGATTCTGCCTCCTTTGATTTATACTAATAAATAGCAGCTCAATCGCCAGGTTTTCTTCCGCTACACATATTCCACACTTTAGAGTAATCAATTCAGTGCGTTTTGTGTTTGTATGTGCCAACGTCGTAACACGTTTTACCCCACTTTAACACTGCCTACTCCAACCTGCCTCCCGAGTTTGGAGTCGTTGCAGTTTCCCTCTGGACTCCATAATTTATCTTTCAGTTAACGGTAATCTGTGTCTTTAAACGTTTCATTATTGACCGGAATGTTAGTGTGCTCGTATGTTTAATTTGCTTTTTTATGCTTGACTATCAGTGGCATTGTTTTGTTGGCCGTTCAATTTTCTTTCCTTCATTTACCCTCAAGATTACTCACTCTGTTTTTGGCCTTTCTTCCGCGTATTCAGAGCCTGTTGCGATTGGACGCAGGACGCAGTCTACTCACTGTCGTTGACTCCGAAGTAGGTCATCTGCTCCCTTTTCAAACTCCGGAGGAGAATTCGAAAGGCATTTCGGTTCTGGGAACTCTGTTACGTGTGCTGTTCTATGCGCTAACATCCAAACAGCATACAATGGCCTATAGCAACCTACTGCGTTGTATAGAACTTATCCTGGACGAAGTGAGTATCTTTCCTTATGTAGACGTGCAGCTCCACCTATACTTTTATGATATCCATCACTCTGATTGGCATTTCCCTTCTCTTCGCTCAGTGATACTACAGTATGAAACTAGTGCTCATCACATACTTTAGATAAGGTATACTAGACTTTACATGAGACACTAGAGAAGGCATGATCAGTAATGTACAAACAAGGAGGTTTCTTCGTGGCATTTTTGGTCATTACGTTGAAGCTCGTTCAGGTGTTCATCTAACATAATGAACTATACTCCATTCTCCTAGTGTGACAATACTAACAGCAACAACACTAACAACACTAACAACAACAACAACACTAACAACAACACTAACAACAACAACAACAACAACAACAACAACAACAACAACAACAACAACAACAACAACAACAACAACAGCCTGAAACAGTTAAGCGAGAAAATGAACAAACAGGAAAAAGCAATTACCCTAAAAGAGGCTCGAAGGAGCTCTAGACTCTTTCGATTTCGACATTAAAAGCTGTGCATAAGATGCTGCATACGTGAACACGTCTTATCTCGGAACCGCGTTATCTCCCTGTCAATATATAGCCACCGGTATGTCGATCGAGGATGACTAAGCCCTTAGAATTCTCGACACGCATTAACCAATTCCTCTGATGTATATGGCAATCCGGGTTTCATTGTATACCATGTGATTCATGAATAAGCTGGTATCCGGCCCTTATATGGATTGCTGAGGATTTAAAAAGGCTCATTAATCGTTCAACAGCATTTTCCAAGGGTTTTTATCATAGATGGTACTGCTACCTAAGTAAATGAACCAATCCACCACTTCCATTGGCTATTGGGCAGTCACGTCGATGCGTGCTGGACCATTGATGTAGTAGTAGCGCTTTCATGGTGCGAAGAACGCACCTGAGGATGTACGGCATTGTAGACCAGCTCATTTATAGGCGCCTGGATAGCAACCCGACCTGCTCGAAAGGATGCGTGTCATATATCTACTACAAAGCCGATATTTACTCGCCTGAATGATTTCCCACTCTGAGTGAGACACCGAACATGTCATTGGTGAGTAGTAAGGGGATTTATTTGCTTTTTTGTGGGGATTCGTCACAGCTAGACTTAGACTGACAGCCACTACACATCCAGAGAAGCGCTTTCCTGAATGTGTGGTGGCTGTCTGCCTGAGTCTAGCTGCTAGAAATCTTTACCAGAACATGTCATTTATGGTCGTTTGCCTCGGTTGATTATGGCCAGTGCATCCTTTATCCAGACTTATCCAACCTGCCTCTCACTACAGCGCATCTCCACTGGATCCTGGGCGATCTCTGTAACCTTGTGAGCATTGTTGGAGACGGGTGTGGTGACATTGTTACCTCTATACGTTGCTCCCAGTATTCTTTGATTAGGTTCTAAAGACGGAGAAGACTGAAGACAATTCCTACGTGAATCATATACTGTCGAGCAAGATAGCTGCATCACTGACCGCTTAGTTATCACCACTTTTCATCAGCAACACAGACTGGTCCTCTGATCCATTTGGCTTGTTTCGCCTCAACAGCGCCAATTCCAGTTAAGCCATCGAGATGGGATTTCGACAGCATGAGTCTTGACGCTATCGTGGCGCCTTTGTTTGCACCCCCCTCTAAGCCACTTTGCCACCAGCGTATGCGCTCATGGGACCTTAAAAACATTGTACGCTTCGTTCAATGCTATATGACGCGCTGTCTGACTGGTGGCTGCCACTCGTTATTTTGGCCTTTTAGAAGGGACATTGCAACTTGTGAAAACCATTGTGATTACAGCCTCCAGTCAATTACTTCCAAACCGATGGCGTGCGTCATGCCACAGTGGCTTACTGATTCTCGTGAGAGTCGAGTGAGGAAAAGTCAGGCCGGAATCCGCCCCGGTCGAGGACACATCGGCTGCATCTTTGTTATCTGACATGCACTTCATCATCATACTTACCTATCATGGTAGCCTTACTTGACTTGAACATTGCTTTGCTTACGTTTTGTTCCCCTGTTTCTACTTGTGTCTATATTTAGTGAATGATTCTTTGAAATTCTTCTCTGTTACGAAATCTCCGTACAGCTATTCCGATGACCTTGTAAACATTTGCTGACACTTCTCCTCCGAATTCGCCACTACAGGTGAAGTGCGTTGAAGCCGCCGTTTCTTTTGGAGGTGTTCCGTTGTTGCCCCTCCCACCACTGGCTCCTTATAACCGGTTTCGTAGAAGAATCAATCTGATCTCCGTCGCTTTTAAGATTCTCGCCTCTGTCGTTTTTCGTAATTTGACCATCACTTATGAGTCCTATTCCAGAGGAGAAAAACGAAATTTGTCGAACTAAAGACTGTCTCTTCTATTCCGGCTATCAATATGCTTTTAGGTTTTTTTTGACTACGGAGGTTGTGCCTCAGGGATGCATACATTTTATAAGGGTGCTTGGCCACGTAGTTAGAGCACAGCGAAGTCTTATGGCTAACTATCGTCGTCCACCAATATCTCCCGCGGTGTGAAACTAGGGTGTTCGTTGTTATCTCCCATTCTTAACGCCCTTGTTGACAAATTTTCGTGGAATACATTCACTGGGCACAACTTGGATGGTTCGAAGCTGCTTTCAAGTGATCGACTTCATGACTTGGGATATGCAGATACTATTGCTCTACTCTGTGACAGATCACGAACGTGCCACGCAATATTAAGCACATCAGTAGTGCTTGTCATCCTTGTCGTGCTTTACTTTGCACCTTTAATGTGCAAAGCTTTCCCCCAAGATTGACAGAGACCGCCTCCTGTTCTGACATTTGTTGGGGGTCAGCTAAAAGTCTTTTTGGAATTTCACTCCCTGGTCAGCGCTGGTGGAATATAAGGTGAAGTAACAAACCGTATGGCCATAGCTCAAATTGCTTTTGCTCAGCTTCGCTGTTGATGGCACCTGTGCGACTCACTCTTTCTCTGATGAGTAGAATCTAACTACAACTGTCCCTTTACTCCTCCTGTACGGTTGTGAAATCTGGCCCATCAGATGAACAGTTGTGAATAGGCTAAAAGTTTTCAAGTGCCTCTTCCTTGAGCTCAAATCTGATAGCAAAACCGCGTGAGCAACAAGCGTGTTTAGCGTGTTTAAGTTGCAGGATGAGCGGGTGAATTTGTTGGAATCATTGGTCCGCACACCAGGTTCTTGTGGTTGCTCTTTGTGTTACATGTACCAGCACACGGACTCCAACGATGTGAGTTGTTTGAGGAACCGGGATTTGGATGCAACAAGGACGGAAAACCAACCGATGACTTGATCAAAAAGACTGAGGGTTCTCATTTCACATGTGGCATAGATTCGGGCCTACTGACTCCCTGGTTGTGGACATGCGAACGACGAAAGCGTTTGGTTGCAGATAGCCATTGACAATGCAAAGCGCCGATCTAAATGATCTATGTGTTGTAAGTTCCTTCGTCCCCCTTTCGACCAATATTTTGTTCCCGACACGTATTCGTACAAAGCATCACTCTTGTTACCACCGGGCTTTGGAGGAGCCACCGTGTGTTTGAATTGCGACACAGTTTCATTTGAGGTCATGGTTTACTTTGAAGCCAAATTTGGCCATTTCAACCACTGGGGACATATCTGAAGTGGAGAGTCTCGCTGATGCAAGGATGGGAGGTCGCAACACCAGAATCATATACTTATTTATTTATTTTATTTGTTCCTTTGCTTCCATTTGTTACGACTGTGTTATATGATGACATGCTAGCTGAGGCGTTTCTCATTCTTAGCTAACGTTTGCTGATTACGTAGCTGCTGCTGCTGTTGATGATGATGATGCTACTCGCGTTAGGTGGGAGAACCACATGAGCAACGCCACAGTTTGCCACCTGATGTTTAACGAGGTGAGCTATCGAAGTGCTTGGTGCATACGAACCGTCTTTGTTGACTTGTTCGTAATGTTTTACATACCAGCTGCCTCGGCGTGCATTATTTGCCAATACTACGCCCGATTAGGTGACATCCCGAGGTTGCCACTCAGCGACATAGCAAAGGAGCTTATAGTTACCTACCGAAATTCTGAGCCAGGTTCGTGCTTCTCGATTGAGGTCTTCGGAACCCGTCATGTCAGTGGCTAGATATTCTTCAGTATGTGGCGCAATCAGCGGCGCCTTTGCACTTCGTCGCTCGTTTTTGTCCTCTGACCACCATGTAGCGATTTTCTTTCTTGTTCATACTATTTAAATGTGCGCTGTTGTGTATTGTGGATGGACTAACACAAAATTTCCACTTTAGGGTTATCACTGTCGGACGGAAATTCTGGACCGTTTGAGTCGAAATTCAGTTGAATCTAGCTGAAATGAGAAACTAATCGTAGGTTGCTGATGAGCAGTGAGGGTTTAACCATATTTTCAGATGATTCGTCGCAGTCCCTCTTAGTCATCAGGCGTTTCCACGCTTGGAAAAGCACCAGATACCGGTGTTTCGACCTTCTGGGTGGTCTCGTCAGTGGTGCGCTTTTCTCAGACTCCTGTCGGGTTCCGATCCCATAATTCCCTAGTGCCCGCGCGTTATGCCACTAATCCATGGGTGACGGCTGCGGACCTGCATGACTGCCAGTTGAATACCATATAGCGCGGCTCCTCCACAGCCTTGCCAGTGAGAGGGGACCGCAATGAATTGCATCTGCAATTATTCGTGGATTACATTGTTACAACTAGACAACGCCGAACATTCATCCACTATTGTCATTATTTATAGTACTGTTATTATGCTGGTAATATAAGTCAGTGCGGCTTGATCCACATCACAGATCCACACGGCACTAGTTTTACTGGTGTACAATAAAAAAATCAAAGTTTTGAATCTTCTGTACTTTGGGTTTCATTTGACCAGCAACTTATGGAGAAAACATAAATTTCGTAGGAGCCAACCACCATTTCAGTGGAAATATTTTGCAGATATTTGATCATGTTAATCCAGCACGCATGACAAGTCCTCCTTATAAGCACGCTGTTTATGTACAAGGTGTAGGGTTTTTCTAAATTTAGTGGCTACTGCAGTTGTTTCGCAGTTTTTAAACTTTTGTAAGATTTATGAAACAAACTTTGACTTTCGTCGGTCCTTCGCTGCACGTGCCTTT